TCAGACAAGTTTTTACTTAATTTTTTACTTAAATGCATAATATATAATTCCTGTCTGCGACACATATCTATATATGTATATAAATTTATAAATGAACTGTAAATTAAACATTTACTAGATTACATTATCTATTTCATTCCTATTATATTCATCACACCTATTATATTAGTTTTCCTAATGGTAATACAGAAATGTCCAATAATACTTTTAATTAAATCTAAATCAGATAAAAGAACTTGCACAACTTAGAGGGTTTATACATGTACATATGTGTGTGTGTGTATATACACACACATTTATTCATAATATAAATGAAAAAATGATAAAATTTAACAGAATTATATTAACACGTTCAACAAAAAACGTGTATATCACACGTAAATTCTTCGAGACTGTCCCATGGGGCAGCATATATGTGTATAGAATATTTTTTTTATTTCTTACAATTATAAATATCGATATCTTCTCCAAATTTCTTTTATATTTTTTTTATCACACATGTGTATGTATCCTATATATGTTATGGCACATATATATACGCATGGATCTTTTATCAAAACTCTAATTATATAAATTATAATACATACATATGATATATGAAATTTTTAGAAAAGATACCGTGTGTGTATTATTTCATTTCTTACAAATGTGCAAACTGCAGTTAAATTTAACAAAAGTTATATCTATGAGCATGCAGTAAAAAAGCTTGCGTATATGTTCCACGTAACATAACAACTGTGTATAATTTTCTATCTCAACATTTAAAAGATTAGAAAAGTACGGATATTCAACATATAGATATTCATAGACAATTATATAAGTTATATCGGCTGTAAAATGCCCTGTATGCAAATATATATGAAGCTAATACTGACATGATGTAAATATCATAGACACGTACCAAATACAATTTGCAAGTGTACATAAATTTCCTTTTTATTTAATAGAACTAGTCACATGATAGGTTTTCTCAATATTATGAAACTGATACTATTTTTATCACATTCATTTACCAAGTGGGAATTTTCTTGTATCACACCCATGTATATTCTAAAGACATCACGATCTCTCTCTCTCTCTCTCTCTCTCTCTCTCTCTCTCTCTCTCTCTCTCTCTCTCGATAGCATAACTCGACCTTTTTTCACACAAAATATATTCTTCGTGAATCTATGAAAATGTTAAAAATTATGTAACAAATGCATCATAGATCAGACTATGTTATTTGAAGCCTTTGTATGCTGGGCTAAACTAACATACTGGCCCCAGGGAGATATAGTAATTAATAAGGTATTTTGTACCTAAAACTGGGATATGCTTCAGGCTTTATTAGGATGTGCAAATAAATTCATGAAATCTGCCGGTAAGAAAATTTGTGCGGAAAAAGAAGCTATGCCAAAAAAATATCTCTTCGGATTATAATATAAAGAGGTATACGATACGAAAAGTTCAATGAAACTATGAATAGATTGTACTTTAATTAGGTAGGTAAAATATCATGGATCGTATGAAAAGTAATCGTTGGAATAAAAGTACAAACTAAAATAGACTAATATGAAACTTATTTAATAGGTTTTTTCATCGGTCAGAGAAAGAGAAGAAATTTAAGAGGCCAGAGTTAAAATAGCATTTCGTAGATCTGTATGATTAACATAATATAACAGATTATAATGTGCAGATCTCTGTAGTAAATCGATTTGTACGAGAGCTTCTTATGTCAAAACAATTGTGGCAAAAGTCGTTCAAGTTGGCATTTATACACAGAACATAAGCGAGTAGTTCTGCTTCGCTTATAAAAAATATACTACTCTGTATAGCTCATATATGTTTCTGACATATATCATGGCGGATATCTCTTTTTCGTACGTAAATAATTCCGCGAACTACCTCGATAGTTCGTGCTGCCTAATGGCGGATGCTGGGTCCTTGAAAACAATAAAATATATCACCAGCATCTTATTCCATCGCGTGATTCTTCAAAAATAACTTCAACCTCGTCGGATAATCCGTCATTACGCCAGTTGCGCCAAGCTCGAATGCTTTCTTGAACTCTTCATCTTTGTTTAAAACCCAAAAGTACACCTAACGTACACGTAACGATAGCGTTAAGAAATAGCGATAAATCCACAATAATAACGATATTTCGCTTTACTCACATGTATGCCTCGTGCTCTTAAATGATTAAATAAGCACGGTCTCATTAGTAGTACATTAATTGTACGTACAACTAATTTTTCCAACGGTAAAAATGTTGGACTTGGGCCACCTGTACGGCTGGAATAAGAACATGACGTATGCTTCAATTCCATGATAATTGCTGGGAAAATATTTTCGGTCGTATTACCGTAAATAGATCGAAGGTAAAAAGATTTCGAGGTGTGTTTCCTTCAGTGGTACAAACGGCAACAAACCGGTATACATAAGAAGTATCAACATTGTCACACGCTGCATCGAAAATAGCAAGTTCACACTTGGATTCTGCGTAGAAGAAAAAAAGCTGTAGATTAAAAATCTACGGAAGTTGGCGGCCTTTCAGGAAAGCTCGACAACATACCATTTTATAGCATTTCTGTGTGACTTCATCGCTAAAGTTTCCCCAAACGGTATATTCCTCTCTCTTGTATTCTTTTATCAGATCGGAAACTTTTGATATAAGTCGATCATCATTGATCTTAATGTCAATGTTAATAGGAATATTGGGGAATGTCTCGAAGACTTCTCGCAGCAGCGCGAACCGCCGATCCTGCTCCCTCGCGGAACCAACATACTCCACATCTGCCCAACTACGGTTCTTAAATAATTTCGTTCAAAGATATCATTTTTTTCTTAAAACAATAAGTAACAATACCTGGATCAAAATCGATCGGTAAACGCTGTTTCAGCAGCGGCAAATCTTTGTAATCCAACTCGGAGATGTTCTTGTCCACGCCGGTGCTACGAAAGAGATTCTGATCGTGCGAGACCACGACTTCGCCGTCTCTCGTGAGGTGACAGTCCAACTCCAACATTTGAGTCCCGATCGCCACCGCTCTGCGAGTGAAAATTCCCGATCTGATTACTTTGACCCACTACTTTTGAACGATCGTTCGAATCTCGACTAACCGTTTAAATGCGCACATCGTGTTCTCATAGCTCTCGCCCGCTCCTAAAATTTCACACATAGGCAAGTTATTTCGCGCGCGACCGAATCGGCGATAACGATAAACAAAGGCGACTCACCGCCCCGGTGGCTAATGTGCTGGCACAGAAACTTCACTTTCTTTTTTTTGTGAAGCAGAGTAGGATATTTAAACAGTATCATCGAGGTCAGCATGTAACCGCCGATCAGCGTGTACAGCAACATCCTGGCTCGCTTTTTATCCACCTTCGTACATTCCGCTGACGCGACGATGAGTTGGGATAATGCAAAATAGACGCAGCGGAGGAACGGCGGCAGTGACGGACGGAGCAGACGACAAGTGTCGTCGCTTTGAACAATCGAACTCAAGAGCGGCGCCCTGCTCTACGATTTCTAACGAATCTCTCGGGAACGGTTCTCATGAGAATTCCACGTTTATCCTCGCTGTACGTTCGCTACCGACGACGCGAAATTTGCCGACGCTTTCGCCCGTGACCGTCTCGCTTTCTGACACTTCCGTCGAGACGTTACCCGGATGTCGGGGACCCTCGATGAGGATCGAGCGTAAAACACCGACCCGCCGGATATGGTGATCTTCTTTCTTGCGTAGCGCACGACGTAACGCTCTGTCTCGAATGCACCTGTCAGACGACTTCAAAAGTTCCTCCACGAAAATGCATTTTCGCCACGTTCCCACGTTCGATTGACGCGATGTCCGAGTCGAATTCGCCTAAGACAGACACGAGCAGCTCCAGCCTTCTGCGGCGCTTCCGCTTTCAAAAGAAACAAACGAAGGCGATGAACATGTGTAAGGACTCTAGTCGCGTTGTTTGTCGTTCGCACACTTCGTTCGTCAGCCGGTGCGCTTCCTTTGTCGCTCGACGACGCGGCATGAATGCGTCTCTTACGATTTGGAAGTCGAGTGTGTTTGCATTCGTTGCGCGATCGGCCAGAAAGATCTCGATGTCACATTTGCTTGTTATGAGATTGTCTTGTGTATTTCATTGAGAGTTTAACTTGTTAATTTTATGCTTGTTTTTAGCCGATGACGACAGTAATCTGGTAAGTCCTGATGTACAAGTGCGCCGTAAACCTGTAAATCGCATCGAAGATAGCGACAGTGATATAGGTAGTCCAGCTAAACCGACAATCTCAAGTTCAGACATTAATACCAAAGGTAAAGAGCACATGCTGAAGTACCTGACAAGGTTGTATCCACAGAACGATGTGCTGGTGAGTGAAAGTGAACTAGGGAAGGAAAATTGGTCTTACAAGTTGGCGAAATCGACAATTCCAATTAATATTTTTTATTTCTTCCTCAATTGTTGCCAAAAAGAAGATTTGTTACTCCACTGGTTTTTTTTTCTTTTTTTTTTTTACAGCGATGTTGACGGAAGATAAAGTTAGTGGAACAATATATCTATAACGTATAGCGAACATAATGATGTAGGAATTTGTTGCTCACAAGATATGCTAGTCCTGCGTTTGTTGTTCGCGAAATAAGTTGAAATAACAACGAAAAACTCTCAACATAAAGTTTCAAAACTACCAGAAAAAAATTGGTTGCTTTTGGAGCTTTGTGCACACTGAGAGCCTTTATGCTGTTGTTTCAACTTATTTTGCGAGCGACAAATGCGGGACTAGCAAATTTTGTGAGTAACAAATCCCTACATTATTGTTACTTTCAATTTCGTTGTTCTGCTATCTTCCTTTAGCAGAACATCATTTAAAGAAAAAAAAAAAAAACCGGCGGAGCAACACATTTTTTTCTTCGACAACTTTTGAGCGACATATAAAAATAGTTAGAATTGTGCCGCCACTGTTCCGCCAACTTATAAAATTGGTCTCCTTGGCTGTTGGGAAATGTTCAACCTGTCTCTGGATGTTTATTATTTCGCACAATTGTCATTTATCAATTTCACCATCAATCTTTCCTTTTCTCCTTTTAGATCTGGAGATTTAATGCTTTTGCAATCTTCAATGCGCAAGACAAAACTGTACTTAATGAAACCAATAATTATGTTAAATAATAGTAAATAAGTAAAATTTTGGATAGGTAATCTTTGATGTGTACGCCGCTTATATATTCTGATTAATTGGTATATACTTTTATAGCGTATACAGGAAGTACTTATTAGTACTAATTGGAACATTGAAGAGGCTGAAGAAGCACTTAGGAATAACAAGAAGAGGAGCTCAAAAGAATCTCCAAAAACGAACAAGAAGAAAAAAAGAAGAAAATTAAATGTAGAGGAAGACGTGGATGTTGATTCGGATGAAGGAGATTATAAGGACAAAGTATTTGATAGGTATGTAATCTCAAAAACGCTAACTCATATTCATTCAGAATTTAATATATTAATAATCTCATATTGTTTCACAGCGATGAAGATGCGGAGATATCTAATGAACTCACGGGCGACAAGAAAGCAGTCTTGAAGTTTATGCAAACTGCGGTGTCCTCAGAATTGCTTCTCATGTCTCAGTGTTCACAAAAGAGAGCTAATGCCATTATAGAAGCGAGACCGTTTGAAAATTGGAAAGAATTGGTGAATAAATTTCAAAATACAAGATACTTGGATACTGAATTGTTAAACGCAGCTCAGGTAAATTGTGGATTCACGTATATACAGGTTGTTTCTCAAGTATTTCAGGAGTTGATTTTCGAGGTCATTCTATGAGAAAGAAATTTTACCAAACTATCGTTTTTTCTCGTGTAAACTTTTCCTCACAAAAAGACATCAAAAGTGAACATTTAAATTTTATTGGATAGTACTTAAGGAACATTCTTCGTAGTCAATGATAATTTATCTCTATACTGATTGCATTCTCAACATACAGGTGTTATTATGCACACGTCATGTGTTGGAGAACCTGATGAAAAAATGCCTGCGTTTGTCCACTAATATGGAGAAAGCTGTGTCTGCTGGTGCTTCGACCATAACGCAGCAACCAAAGGGTCTATCGTCCGATTTAACATTGGCCCCGTACCAAATGGTCGGCCTCAACTGGCTTGCCGTGATGCATGCACAGAACGTGAACGGCATATTGGCCGATGAAATGGGCCTCGGGAAAACTGTGCAGGTGATAGCCTTCTTGACGTATTTGAAGGAAGCCGGTCTCATCGATGAGCAGGACGGCCCTCACCTGATTGTCGTTCCTAGTTCGACCATAGGTAAAGCACTTTGCAACTTTACGTTTCATCCGATATATTCACAGTGATCGTTTTCTTGGTGGTAGAAAATTGGTGGAATGAACTAGAGAGATGGTCACCTGGCTTAAAAGTTGTACAGTATTACGGCTCTCAGGACGAACGGAAAGAAATGCGAATGGGCTGGCGAAACGGTGATCTCGAAGATGTCGACGTGCTGTTAACTACGTACAGTTTAATCTGCAGCACTCCGGAGGAACGTAGACTGTTTCGCGTTATGCCCATTGACTATGTTGTTTTTGATGAGGCGCATATGCTGAAAAACATGAGCAGCGTTAGATATGAGAATCTCGTTAGAATTAATGTACGTTCTCATCACGTGTGTTTAACGATCCCATCTAAGCAGTCATAATGGATATCTGATTATTTTTCAAGGCTAAACATCGTATCTTATTAACTGGAACCCCTTTACAAAATAATTTATTGGAATTGATGTCTCTATTGATATTCGTAATGCCGTCGTTGTTCGCTGGCAAACAAGCCGACCTGAAAAGCTTATTCTCCAAGAATCCCGTAAGCCGTTGAACCGTTACCAAGAGTCAGTTTTAGTAGGTCGTTGTAGGAGAAGGAATTTTCAGAAAACACCGGGCGATAAGAAGGACGGAGATCAACCGTTGTTCGAGAGAGAACAAGTTAAGAATGCAAAGAAGATTATGCGTCCGTTCGTTCTTCGCCGGCTAAAAGCTGAAGTTCTCCGTGACCTGCCCTATAAGAAGGATGAGATAATACGATGCGCGTTGATTAAGAAGCAGCAGAGTATGTATGACAAATTAATCGCGCAATTTTCAGCGGAGGCCAACGAGATCACAGATGTAAACGGGACCGGCATGATGATGCAACTGAGAAAGCTCGCCAATCACCCCCTTCTCGTGCGCGATTATTATGACGAAGAAAAGCTCAAGGTAATACGTCGAAATGTTGCAGTTCGGGCTTTCCGATTGCATTTTTTTTTTTTATGCCGTATCGTTAGATCATAGCGAGTAGATTGGCGAAAGAACCAGGCTATAAACAGAAGAATCCCACGTACGTGTTCGAGGAATTGATCTGGGCGTCCGATTACCAAATAAATCAGTTGACCCGGATATACAAGAGCGTGGCCGGATTTGGCCTTCCTCAAGAGCTGATTCCTCAAGCTGGCAAGTTGAAACAATTGGACGAACTGCTGCCGCGTTTGAAGAAAGGTGGTCACAGAGCGCTCATATTCAGCCAGTTTACTATGGTATTGGACATACTCGAGGAATACTTGACTATCAGAGGACAGACATTTTTAAGGTTTGCACGGACGTTACTTTGTCGCGTCTCGATTCAACTATAATAAAGCGAATGTTCATTTTTAGGCTAGACGGTAGTACGCCCGTGACTGACAGGCAAAGCTTGATCAATGAATATACGCAAGATACAAGTATATTCATATTCCTGTTGTCCACGAGAGCCGGAGGTTTAGGGATCAATTTAACAGCCGCGGATACGGTTATAATACACGATATAGACTTCAATCCGTACAATGACAAACAGGCGGAAGATAGGTGTCATCGAGTCGGGCAAAAGAAGTATGTATCGTTGTGAGGGAATTATTTTGTTGCTAGCGTCATTATGCGCGCGACACATAGAGGATGCGAAATATGGATCGCTCATACAGACGATTGTGAACTACATATTGCGGCAACGTTGTAAATTGAAACATTACAAAGACATTGCTGTTACCCGCAGTGTATATTAGCGACATAACATTGATATTTCAGAAACATTGCAAAGTCGGTTTCTTGAGAGGAAATTTTTTCAAGTCTATGCACCGTTTTGAACTTGAGAGAAAACCATTTTTTTTTAATACCAATTTCAACACGTAGTGAGATCTATACATGTCTAATTTGCAATGAAAAATGCAGTACATCTGTTACATCGTCACTTTATCGTTCGCATAATTGAAAGGAATGCATTAAAAGGATACTGAATTCTCTTACAGACCAGTCACTATAATTAGACTGTTGAGTGAAGGCACAATAGAGGAAGGCATGTACGAAATAGCTCAAGAAAAGTTGCACCTTGAACAACAAATCACTGAAAACGAAGGTAAATCTACAGATCTGTAGAAATTGATTATACAGGGTGTCCCAATCTCGGTTCCTGTGGTGTACAAGTAGAACAGGTGAAACGGAGCAGAAAAGTCATGTTCATTAGCTCAGACAAAATAATTAATTCCTTCAACTATTGCGAATTTAGCAAAATTTAGCAAAAAAATTACATAATTTATTCACTTGGTTTCACCCGTTTTTCCACATACACCACGGGAACTGAAAAAGGTTTGAGACACCCAAATATATGTGTGTGTGTGTGTGTTGTGTGTGTGCATGGCACAAAATATCTTGTGCCCTAATTCTGATCGAATTAACGAGATTCACATTCTGTCCGTAGAAAGTGAAAACACGGATAAAAAGTCTGTTCTGAAATTATTAAAAATGACAATAGGCCAGGATGTTCATAATAAATCTTCAATGAAAAATGCCAGTAAAGGATCTGATGCACTGATACATGATGAGAATTGTAAATAAGAAATTTAATCGCTATTTGTAATTTTGCTATTTAAAATGCCACAATGGTCATCATCTTCGTATATTCCACTTTCACCTGTACGCACGCCGTATTCTGCACGCTTTGCGAACGCTAAATACTGAAGAGAAAAAACAAAAAAAAAAAGGCATATTTAGGGTTCGTTTATGCGTCCAGAATGAGGTCCCGAAAAACACCGAGTCGTCGTAAATGCATGAAGAAATAGGAAGGCGGATGTTTTTTATATGTAAAATGTCGGACATTTTAATTCAACTTAAGCTGAGTATACGCAGCACATAGTGATTTTCTACTTGTAAGATGTCTTGCGGAACAATCTGTTTTTTGTGATTTTGTATGTCTATTAAATCATTCCTTTATTTATCTACACAACATGTATGTGTGTGTGTTTGGTTTCACCCCGCTGCTTTGCGTACGCATATGTACAGCAATTTTCTAACAGCTCTGTAGGATTCACGTAAATTTATTCAAATATATTTAAGATATATAACATCGAGATGAACCAAATGTAAAAAAAAAAAGGAAAAGGCAAGTATCAAGTGTTAACATGATACTGAGTGAACTTCATTGTTCATTTATGATCATGTTCATAGTTACGCAAATACAAAAGAGTTGTAACAACATAAATGTAATAAATATGGCACAACTCTTCGGAAAAAAAAAACAGAGAGAATCATTTAATTATAACACCATCCGACGTAACCATGTTATCAATCGCAAACATGTTACCTTGTATGCAAGAGGCACATAAAAATATTTTATTACATTTTTCTTTACATATTACAGTTCCTCAGGATATACTTTGGCTCATTAATAAGTCGGACATACCATCCTTAATGATCTTCAGGCTCTCTAGATCCGAGTTTATCGTCGCGATAAGTTGTGCCATGCCTTGTTGCTCCATACTTAGATACTAAAATAATGAACGAGAAGAGAACAATTATACATTTGCCGATGACCGTTCCGGCATAACCCGTAAGAAACAGTTACCGTTTTGATATCGTCCTGCGCTATGGGATCCATCGTATATCTCTCCTGATTCTGAATGTCGATGTGCCTTCTCATTCTGAGCTGAGAGAGCATCTCACTGATTCTGCCTTTGTATTGCGTCGGAGCACTGATCTGCGAGTGCATCGCCTCGAATCTGCGCGTCAGGACTTCCTCCTCCGGTTGCAAGGACAATCCGACTTTACGCGTGATTTCCTGTCTAACCAACACCTGTGAATAGAATTTATGTCGTTTTATATTCCTAGGGTACACGTAGGACATGATGCAATTCAACGATATATCCAAAGTGTGTTCTAGAAGTCATTCTAAGCAAAAAAGATACATCGGCCATAGGGATCGGCCAATTATCGAGATATGATGAGAAACTTAATTGTCAATAACGTGAATTTTTTCTGGATGGCTCGAGCTTCTTCTTGTGAAACTGTTTGAAGCATATTAGGTTGGTGCATATGATACGTCGGATTTTTGTCACGCATATTATGCCGGTTATATTGTGCTGAAGATGTACCATACATTAATACGCTTGGAAAAGTCAGTCGATTTTTGTACTGTGTATTAACATTATTAGTTTTTTTTTTTTTCTAAAATATCGCACGTGATATTAATTTTTGAACCGCAATATTGATGAACCATCCGAATTTGACGTCAGACCCATAGTAGTATACAGTCAATGTATAATTTGATGCCACAATTGGGGTGGTTTTTTTTTTCTTCGTGAAAACTTGTGCGTGAACATAAATAAGAACGGTCTAACAATGTTCACGGAGCGACTACTTGATTCTGCGTCACTTTACATGTAACGTTTGACAACTATGGAACGACTATGGACGGCTCTGGACAGTCGCTCTAAGCTAAAATAAGAAAACAAAAGAGCTCGCTCGCTCTGTCGCAAACTTCCGGCTGTGTAAGGAATGCCCGATCTATATATGTTGCCACAATTAAAGAACAGTACCTGCAGAACTCGATGCTGGAGCTCCAACAAGGTGCGCCTGTGCTCCTTCAATCTGGCTTGCGTGGCGGTGTGCTGTCTTTGCAGACTCTGAATCTTCTCTGCGGCCATGTCCAAGAACGCCCTATGCCTGGCAGTCTCCTCCTCCTGGCATTTCAACCTGTGCTTGACCTGCTGGAAGCCAACCATAGGAACCGGGATGTATCGCTCCGGATTGGGATTGTCCAATTGCGCCTGCTTCCACAGTCTGGCGTCGATGGCGCAAGGTGGATTGTCCAGATACTCCTTCAGCTGTGATGGATCGAGTTTCACCAGCGGGAATATATCCTCGACCCCATTCTGCACCAGCTGCTGCTTCTGCATAGTCTGCGACAGGTAGGCGACCAATTCGTTGGCGGGGATCTTCCTGTACGAACCGGTGATCCCTTTCTCCGACACGAATATCGTCACCTGGCTCTTGCTTTCGCCGGTGGACTTGATATTGTCCACGGTCACTGTCAAATTGGGCTTGTTGCCCAGTAAACCGCTTAGAAAGACGATCAACTGTGGCTTCCCGTCTTGCATGTCTTTCTCTTTCTTACCGAAGCACAACACTACTAAACCGTCGTTGTTGTCGGCGTCGGGTATACGACTGTAGCCGATCGCTTTGAATCTACACAATGAATTCTCTTGAGTAAGCTCTATAGGTGGAGCGTTTACGGAATAGTAAGCCTTTCCTGTACCCCACAGAGCCTGAAGAAGATTCCATCTGGCGATCGTGTTGTCTCGCTCGTCGTTATATAGCTGACAATTAAACACAGCATTGTAGAGAGCTTCCGACACACTGTTCGCGGATTGCTGCGGTTGTTGTTGTTGAGGCTGCCCCAGCCCAAATCCACCGAATCCCGTTCCTGTGCGTAAATTCAAGTCGATCAACTCCTAGTTGAGAGAAATAATTACCACTGTGTGACACTCAAAGAGCATTAGTAAGAATCACGGTTGAATAATCTTTATTTTTAACTAGGTTGTTTAATGCCCTAACAAATTGGTTAAGGCAACTTGATTAACTTTTAATCAATTAACTTATTAAAGTTAAAAGTTAATGAAGCCATGTGTGTGTATATACAGGGTGACCATTGTGTCTGAAGTAAATGGTTATTACTTCGCAACGAGTAGGCCGAGCAAAATGAATGAATTCTTCATCTAGAAAAGACTTATCAAATTCTATTACTATAAAGTACAAAATTAATATATAATAGTTTCGTTCTATTACTGTAATCAATAAATAGGGAGTTTTCGCAATACCGTTTTTCAGATACGCCAAGATTTAAATTGACTAGTTCTTGCCCGACCCTGGTAAAAGGAATATTTCATCACCTGTTCCGAATCCGCCGAATCCAGTGGTATTACTGGTGGTGATCGGCTTACTGCCGAACGCGTTGAAACCCGTGGACGAGCCGAAGCCGGTCGAGGCGATACTCGTAGTGCCGAAATTACCGAACAAGCTCGGAGCGGATGTGGTGGTGGTGGACGTTCCGAAGCCGCCGAAACCGCCAAAGCTCAATGCCGACGTCGTCGTCGCTGTGCCGAAGCCGCCGAAACCGGTGGTAGAGGCAGGGGTGCTGCCGAAAGTCGAGGTTGTCCCGAAACCGGTGCTCGTGGAGGAGGCGGGAATGGTGCCGAAAGCTGGCGCCGAGCCGAAGGCACTGGTCGACGTGGTGCCGAATGTAGGCGCCGATCCGAAGCCTGTGGTAGATATGCTGCCAAATGCAGTGGCCGTTGGAGTACCGAATCCGGTCCCGAAGCCGGTGGTCTGAGTCGACGGTGTGCCGAAAAGACTCGGCGCCGACGTGGTCGGTGTGCTGAAGCCGAACGAGGGTGTCCCGAAACCCGCTACTTTTGTAGGAAATGGGAAACACAGATTAATGATTACAGTGGGAACGGCAAAATCAAACGCGTTTCCGGCTGCGTAGGTCGAGCTTTCCGTTCGAGCCGTTATACATTTTTATTAAATATGTGAAATTATCATAAGTGTTTCATCAATTTTTTTTTTTTTTTCAAAAAATAGCGAGTAAATCTATATTTATGATGTTCCTAAATAATAATGAATCAGCATAGAGCAATCGATAATATTTTTTGTTAATAATAGCGGCTTTTAATTAGAGTCTACTAAATGATCCCAGGTTATTGTGCATGTTTCATTGCTAAAAATATCTCAGAAGGCTTGATTTGTTTTTTTTTTCTATGACATGAAATTAGACAAAACATGTCAATGTACGACACGTTTGTATGCTTTAATGCTCGTTTTGAGGAAATTATTTTAAATGTTAACGATTTATGTTCTGTTAACGTGACTGTAATACACATTGGAATATTTGTAGAAACTGTACTATTTGGTACATCTATCGCAAGAAAAATCTGGAGGTTCAACAACTACATATGATAATGATATTCTTAAGTCAACAAAAAGAGCTGCAGGTAATATTTAATTGAGTGAAAGTAAATTCTTTTTTCTGCTTTTTACTTATCCAAGTCTCTTTTTCCTTTCTACCTAAAACAGTTTCTATCTTCTTTCTATCTTTAGAAGCATCAAGTCCATTTTTTAGCCATATTAATGTTTGAAAATCATCAATAGGCTAGCTTATTCAAAATGCAAGATTCGTCGAAGGCCAGTTCTTTGCCCAGTACTAAACTTCTCCTCCGTCATATTAAATCAGTGCACGACACTGCCACTCAGATTTCAAGTGAATTCGGCACTACAGACACTGCAATTGAGGTACAATATTTCTTTGCTGATCTGTCTGTCATCTCATTATTTTCCTCCAATCAATTGAAGGATCTGTTCATTTTAGTTGAACTGTCTGCACTAATTCACAAAATATATATACATATTGAAGTATATATGAAGCATACATGAGAGATTATTCATTCGCTTCAGTGAATTTCTGGTGCAGCCAGTTTAGTTAAAAAGACAAAATTTAATTCAACGATTCCAATACAGGACACAATAACAGAAATTATGATAACAACTCTTGGCAAAATTCCAAACGAAATGTATTATCTGGAGGACACGACACCCAGTGGGAGAGTCAAGGAATTAAACACAACACTAAACAACTGCAGTTTCTCAGAGAGAACAGTCCCAGTTGACAAATCCGATGAATATACCGGACGTTCTACACTCCTGCTGATCTTACTGAGTGTGCTCCTGATCGTACTGCTTTTATGTTGCATCACAGCGTGTGTCATTGCTAGGTCCAAGAGCAAGTATTCTCTCTTTACGAAGAGCGATATCGAATGCAGTCCGGGTTGCAGTGGCGTCAATGTACCCTTGTTGGGTTTAGAGAAGACATCAGATACAACTACTAAGACAAGTTCGATGAAGAATTGAAAAGGATTGGTTTTACATGGTAGCTCGTTTTGAAACTCTTCAAGATGAAAAAGAAAGCTCCTGATTAAACGAACGGATATCATAGCGTTATTTTTAACCTCAAAGTTGTCAAACCAGAAACACGCAATAAGAGCGACATTGTAAATCATTGCCGACGTTTCATTTATTATAATAAATGAAAAGTTACGCGAAAAAACAGCGGCAAGAATCGGAACAAATAAGAAATTCGCGACTATCTCGCAAAACGTAACTCACCAGGTTTCACCGGTGTTGCTGTTGACGCCGGTGTCGTACCAAAGGCGAAGGTAGGTGCGGGCGTCGACGTAGACGTTCCGAAACCGAACGACATAACTAACTCCTTCCACGATTGATCTGTCACTAATAAATGTCACATGTACTCCGCGCGGACAATCGCGTCAATTGAATAGCGAACATGACCGTTGCACATGCTGTAATGATCTTTACACATGTGGTCTGTTCTTCATGACTCAACTGGCTGCACTTAAAGCTCATATTGGATTGGGGATTGACTAATCAGTGCAAAGTTCACTAGACTTGAATTCAGTTAACTTTGTACTGATTGGCCAAATTCAATCCGTAGCCTGATACAGGCTGTAGAATCTAGGACGGAGTGCAAATACGGGCTTTACGGCACGTCGTTAAAAGTTACAGAATCGGGCTACCGGAACGCTGCTGAAGCCAGCAAATCGAAAACGCTAATAGATTAAGGGCAGGTTCCACTTAACGATCGCGAGTATTATTCTTTGTCTAACATCCAAGTGAAACAAGGATAGAATAATATTCGCGATCGTTCAGTGGAACGTGCAAAGAAGCAGAAACGCTTCAAAGCATTTGTAACGTTTGTGGAACGTACATTGTCAGTTCACTCTTTCGTCATTTTGAACTGTGTCGCTATTGTCGCGAAGTTCTCGACTGACTTATTCCTTAATCCCTCGCAATTAAGCGGATATTTATAACATATATTTTACTGTCCGTAATGCATATTATTCGTAAGTGTTAAGGAAGAAACTTTAGCATTCGTCTAAGAAGCGACAACTTTGTATGCTGCGTGTAATAACTTTTTATATAAAGTATATCGACGTAAAATCGCTAAAATTGTTTTTTTAATTCCTTTATTAAAATCTTCAATCTAAAAACAACGTAGAGTTTTAATATATGTTTACGAACGTTCGTGTCACACGATTGTCGCTTATTGTGCAATTCGCGTTCTGCTATGCATAGACAATCTCAGGGTTCAATAATAGGTAGAGCCTTTAATTTTTAACGAATTTTTTATAATTCAAAAACTTAAAAATAAATATCTCCATAATCTAACGTACATATATGTGATACTTTCGTCAACAGTTTGATAGGGCTATTATGTATATATATATATATATGTATGTATGTATATATATATATATACACACATATGTAATGCTAGACTTAAGCGCCGTTTGCGCGGCAGTTGATCAAATGAGTACAGTAAAAAATACTGTGGATGGGTAGGCGCATTGATAAACGAGAGATTTACGAATTTCCGATGAAAAACTGCATATCTTATGCGCGATCTTCGAATACTCGCGTTATCATGTGATGATAATCGCGCAATTCACGCACGCATGTACGTACGTACACGGTGGGAAGCAAAACAGTTTAGACGCATTGAAGTTGGGAGTGCAACAAACTATTATGATTGATATGACTCACTATCGGCGGACTTGCGCAGTAATCAATTATGACAGGGCCAAAGTAATGATACAGGATATGAAAATAAAATTGATCAAGATATCGTAATCAGGGTATCCACTCAAACCTGAAAAAAAATTCTGATTTTCTAAGCAATTTGTTACAAATTCTAAATAAAATGAAAGTATTTTTAAATGCATCTTGCAAATAAATACATATTTATTGTGCAAAGTCCTTAATATTTTCTATTCATAAAAATATGTAAAATAAAATTAAGAATCACTGGAATTTCAATGATTAAATTTGAGACATTTTGAAAGAAACTGGATTCTAAAAAATAAATACTTTATATTGCATAATGTATCTGCATGTATGCAAATACTTTATATTACATAAAATTTTTTAATTTTATTTAAAAGAATCACTAACAAAACATAATGTATAACCGATACAAAATGCAATTTTTATCAAATCTATTAAAATAAATATCTATTTTAATCAAATAAGTTGTTTAATCAAACTTGTTTAATCAAATATTGTTGTTGCACCTAACATGCAGTAGTTGACTTCAATATTGAATATCGAATTAATTAATAAATTAATCGTAAAATAATTAATTAATAAATTAATCGTAAAATCAGTGTGCTCTGAAGCGCAAAAAATTAAACATTTAAATCATATATACAGAACAAAAGAGGATCTACTATAAACATAAAAATGCTAATATTTAAATATTAAACAGAAACTTAAAACAATCTTAAATATATATATATATATATATACATATACACACACTTGTCGATCCGACTCGTTTAGATAATCTTTGCGGTACTATAATCTATAGGTCATATCTAATATAGTTTGCAATACTGCCATAGCGAATACCGAAATGCTGCTCAAGTCAACAAATCGAAAATGCCAACAGAATGTTAATAAGTTCGCGCCTACGATTTGTATAACGCTATTCCTTATTAATTAAAATTCAAGTGAACAAATTCTGAACCATTTTTCTCTATGATTCTTAATAAAGAAAATATTAATAAATAAAATTCAGCCAATCACACAATATTTCTCTATGAACAACGCGATAATATTTCACAGGTTTCAAGATTACCATTATGTTTTCCGGGAAAACTAAAACTACGTGCTGCAAGAAACTTACTGCATGTTACTTCTCGTCTGTGACATCACAACCAATATGGCTACCCGATAGAGTCAAAATGAAATTAAAATCTGTCAAATAACAAATTTGTTGATATAATAATAAGCCAATATTTACAGCATCATTTGCAGTCATTTTAGCTCACAATCGATTATTACGCAAGCTTGTCAGTAGTAATGACTCTTAATCGTTGTTGTGCTTCCAACTTTAATGTGCCTAAACCGGTGTGCTTCCCGCTAGGTACAGTCATGTGTGCTGTACAGATAATCACAGGACGGTTGCGACAGTTTTTCCTTACATACTTCAGAACATAGAAAAAATACGACTAAGCGAACTTATAATTCATAAACAATAGATGATCAGACAGCTGTCAAAATGAGATATGTACATACACGTCAAAATTACATGTGTGTAGTAATTTTGACAGTTGTCTGACTGCGCATGTTCATTGATTCGCTTCGTCGTATTTTTCCGTGTGTTTCGAAACAGGTGAGAAAAACTGTTGCAACCGTGACCGATTGTACCATTCCCTAGATAAAAAAAAAAATTACAAAGTTTCTCAGTCTTACACACGTAAGGTCAAGAGATCGTTATAATTAGTCATTGTATTCAGCAGTAAAAGCAGCTTAGTAATTTGCTTTGTGATCTATAATTGAAGTTTAGATCTTTCATATATCCAGGAGAACCAGAAGCAATAATCACAAAGCGCTTAGTAAACTTTTTTTTTCTGCTCAACGCATTATAAGCCTATCATAATTAGAGTTATTCGAGCGATTTTCAACTTTATATATAAGACTGAAAGGCATGTAATTTTCCGTCTAGGGAATGGTACAGCGCACGCTGACTGTATTCTGATACATCCCGTCCTCTTATTCGAGCTTTTCACCATTCCTTCTTTATCTTCTCTTTGTTCTTTTTTTCTCTTCGTAAGGCGCAGTCGAACTGCATTTACCGAAATATCGAAACATATAAAACAATTCCACACGCTATAGATTTAACTTACACGTTAAGCACGTGACAAATGACTACTCTCGCCGTTTGCGGAATCGACACTTTCAAGAGTCACTCTCATTGTTTTGGCGTATCCCGAGATTCGTTATTACCATCGCATATTGACCGTGCACGTAGGTTTAATACTAATTTTAGAAGAGTTTTGTCGACGCGAGCGAGGTAACGCAGCTCGTTCTGTCTCTGTGTGTGTATATGTGTGTGTATTGTATGTGTGTTTGTGTGCGTTGTGTGGGCGGTGTGTATTGCTTTGGCATCATAGTCGGTGTAGTTCGTACATTTCGGCGACGTGCTGCGTGCCTGGAAACAGAAAGTCAGACACCATAATCTTCGTGAACGATCCATACCGCGTTAACGCGCGGTATCAGTTAACGTAGAAAACCGAGATCTATCCGTAGTGATTTGGAAGTCGCCGCCGTCACCATCGAGAGAAAGAGAGACTCGTTTTATTCTCCAGCTCGCACAGAGAAGAAGAGATTAGTATCAATTCAAGGCTCTCATATTTCCATCAAACCAAATTTGCGTCAGTTTGTTCTTTCTATATTCAATATTTTCTCTTCCCAATTAGTAAAACTTCTTTTTCAATAACAAGAATATGATATTTTTAGTGGTACTATATAGAATTTTTTCACGTAAGAGCAAGTCTTGTCTTCGTACGAGATTATCTATACTCTCGCTTACATGTGAGTCTAGAATTGATGTTATCATTTTTCACCGTATGTTGTCACAGAGATCAAAATCGTCGCTAGTGCGACACGAACGGTTTCATGCACAGACTATTAATAATGATGCGACGCTTCACCTCATCAAGACTCCCAAATTACAAACGAATGGTAGTGAATGAATTCGCAAGGCATTTAAATCTCGTTAGCATTTATTTCGCGCGCGCGCGCGATACCGTAAGATCGACGCATCTCCGATTGAATATCACTGATTAACTGATTGATTGTCTCTTCAAATTTGGGAGTACGCTTCATGAGGTTCACATGTTCCAAACACTCGGTACAACAATTGTCACGACGATTTTTCTAACGAGATTTAACTGCTATAATAATTGAGTGATTTTGACAGTCATCAAGATCGCACTAGGCCTAACATAAATATTACAAACTGCTTCTCATATCGTGCTCTGTAACAAATGAGTACAAGTGGTACGTCACGAACGTCATGCCGAGACAGTAAAGAGAGAGAGAGGGAGAAAGTTCGATTTGTGTGATTATATTAGCCGTAAAGATTTCATTGATTTTCGGAGCTGCGAACGATTAATTCGCGCGTCGATGAATGTTCCGATCGTATTTACGTATTGTGCGCGGTTTCGAAAAATGCGTTCTCAGTGTCCTTCGAAATGATCGTGAAAAAATTCCAGAAGAAACATTCGCGGTGTTCGCGAAACGATTATCAATTACACGCATAAATTTTACGGGAAAATTTCAGCAATTTCTCAGGTAGACACGATAGAGGAACAATGCATCTCGCTCGTTAGAATATGAAGAATGTACCGATCGCTTATGTATCTCTCGTGATTAAACCTGATTATAAAGCTTGTCGTGTTATCTTCGAAAAACGTACATTTCCGGTCGAAATCACATCTCGAAAAAGTTCCGTTTTATTCCTTCGGAAATACGTTCGTTAAAAGGTCGAGATATAAAATACTCGAAAGCTCTGTCCCTGAAAACACTATTATTTCACGGGGTATTTGGTCCATAGAATAAGATTGTACGACACTAAGAATCTTGGTTTGAATACTTTCTCTCACGGACGCCGACCATCTCAAACGTCCAATCGCGAATATCTCTAACAACAGTTAATAGGAAAACAGGCTATATATAAATATATGAATGTGTGTGTATATACGATCCAACGATGGATAATAAATCTGTGTGACAATCGTTAAATCGTAGAAAATAACGTATCCATCGTCGTGAGAAAGGTAGTAATAGGGCCAACGGGAAACATCCCAGAGAGGTGTCCTGAGGCGTGAGTCTTAGGCCACGATGCTCGGACCTAATATTCATGTGGATAAATGTTTGAAAGAATTTCCAGTAATTTCTAATTACTTTTACAACAGGCTCGAGAACATCGTGGACACAAAGCCCGAAGGATCTATTTGAGGGAACATGACGTCCGAAGGAACGTCTCTGAGACGCGTCTTTTAGACATGCGGTGGGATAGGCCAGATTCCGTGTCTCTCGTTCGCCCGCTAATACGCACTAACTTGCCGCACTTTGTTTACGTAATGCGATATTAATCAATACTGTTTACACATCAAGGGCTTGTTCACCGACGGTATGAAATTAACGTTTGTACACGTGTATATACGCGGGAGAGCGCATTATCGATCGCGCATGAACATTACATCACGTTCTCTGAAAGAGATTCTCTAAAGAATTCACTAGGAAGTTAAACACTTATGACATTTCTCGCGTTAATCGTAACGAATCGCCATCTCACGATCGTCGATGAGCGTACAAGCGAATACGATTCACACCTGTGTGCATTCATGAACTGCGTGAGGAAAATAAGGAAACACGTGTCGACAGGTAAAAATCACCGTTCGTCCTTTGAGATTGCACAGCTGTATTCGTGGAGTCCGTAGTTGATCGCGTTGGTCGCGTTGGTAAACGATTATCGTGACTCGTGGTATCATAACTACGGGATGTACTTGAACGAAAAAGAAGATTGCCCGAGCGTCATGTATATGTGTGTATGTGTGTGTGTGCGTGCGTGTGCACAAACATACATTTCCGTCGATACTTACGGCAATTGAGAATTTACGTTCGAGTGAGGGGATTGAAAGATGATAATCATCGAGATCGATCGAAAAGAGCTTTCAACAAATGTATCGCGCAGGAGAGCGAGAGAGAAAGCGAGAAAGACGTTCCGTGACATTCGTCGGAGGGATTATAAGTACGTCTCTGAAAACTCAACATCAGAGGCGGAAGCGCGGGAGGATTTTGTACATATGGAAATACCCCCACCGATAGCACTGTCCGATGTCCCCTCGCCGGTCGGGTAGTCGGAGACGATGAAGGACTGTTTCGGCTGACCTTGCCTGCAGCGACTCGTGCCGGCTCCCTTCAGGGCATCGCGCTCCGCTAGCTTTTGCTTGATGGCCTGGATTTTCTCCTCCTTCTGCAACACGTGAAGCAAAATAATAATCAAAGTGACACGATTGAACGACGTAAATTTTTATCGTCTGCGGGAATCGATTTCAATTATGATTATGTGTCAAGAATCATTGCGAATATGTTGCTCCCTTGCAAAAATGGAGAATGTGTATGATTTTTTTCGTCAAGACTTTTAAGAGGGATTCTCAAGTTGTGCAAGCTTCGAAAAGTCGGTTTTTCGTTTTTTTTCTTTTTTTTGTGTATTTTCTTAAAGATTGAACTTTTGGGAAAATTTCAAGCCTTGTTAGCATGTTAAGATTCCGAAAATTGACCGAGTTGTACGAATTTAACCTGAGCGCGATTGGCAATCGCGAAAAGGAAAGCAGAGAGAAAATATGTACAAGTTTCACAAGAGGCGAAGAAGAAACGACCTCTGCACGAGTTGAAAATAAGACGAGAAACTGTATGTTTCCTCACCGCAGCAATGAGTTTTTGGAGCTCGTCGTTTTCGTTGAGTAGTTTCTGGTACTTCTCCTCCTCCTCTTTGGATACTGCACCGTCCGGGTTGTATCTCGACTCGGATTTGTCACGGGGATGCCTGATCACCTCGATTACTTTCGGCACGAAGATGAGCGCCATGCTGAGGAAGCAACAGAAGATAGTGGCTAACGCCGAGAAGGCGTAACTCGCGTCCTGCTGGCTAGAGATGACCATTATCACAGGTACCGTTATGAGACACAGAACTACGATATTATATATCGACATTCCCACGTATCTGGAGTCATTTATCAATTTGATTTTTATGCTTCTCGTCTCGTAGGACAAAAAGAGTCCGAAAGCTAGGACGATGCCCTTGTAGCCGTAGATCAAACCTGGACAGAACATTTCAGAATCAGCGGATGGATTTCTTGCGCTTCTTCTCGACGCACAGTCGAGCGAACAGTGCGGGACGACATTCAGCTAAAAAATAAAACTTTTCAAAAAGATGTTTAATAAAATACTTATATATATTTCTCCTGTATTTATATTGTAGCCAACAGAAGACCAATTATAATCCGTCAAAGTAAGTCGCTCTTGGTAAGATACGCCATCCGAGAGATACTTTTGACTCTTTATCTATTGTTTCTCTTTACTGAAAATTTTAATGATAAAAGTATGAATTATTGAAAGTTAAAAAAATGCCTCAACTTGCCTGTCTTACAGGCAAAAGTTACAGACAAAACTAACATAATCCATATTTCTCTTAACGATAAAAGTGCCTTAAATGCGAGGACTTCTCAATCAATCGTTCTTTAACCTTTACAAGTATTTTTTTATCGACAAGTTTAGGCACATAAATTTACGTATGTATGAAAAAATGGCGCCATTTCAAAATATACCGTCTTCTGTGTGCTGACGTCACGAAGCAAGATATTTTGGGACGTTCAAACACTACATAATAACGAGAAATATAGAGACCACTCTTTGAAAAATACACTATTTAAAAATGGATATTCTTATCATCGTGTGTTGTTTGAATAAACATTCTTCCTCTCTACGCGTCAATGTCCCGAGTTTCGCTCCACTGTGCGACAACTGTGGGTCGACATACGCACCGATCCACAGGCCGTAATGTTCGCTCGAGCAATGTTCCAATTCGGGCTTGATCATCGCGTCCTCATCTCCGAAAGGAGGCAGCTCCAGCGAGAAAGTCTCGATTTTGCGGCGCAACGGATCGACCACCTGCCAAGTGACGAGTAGGATAATGTCCACCGACAACAATCCGCTCAGCATTACGTACAGCTTCCACGGCTCAATCTTCTTCTGTATAGACGAAACCTTTTGTTTAGCCGTCAATGACTAAAAGGAATCGAGAATAGGTTAAAGATGCGAGCAGGAACAGAAAACCATGCAGGATGGTTCCGTCTTCGTGACGACTAAAAAGCAGTCTCGTTACTAAGTGGAGAGGGGCGGGAAGCGGTACAATTTGTCTTTGAAGAGTGGAGTGGAATCGCTTCTTCCGCGATTCGCGTTATACCACGCAAAGACCACTCGTACCGCTTTGTCCGAAGGCCGGCTGCGATATCTGCTTCTGCGATTCACTTACTTTTCCCTGGTCGGCTTTCGCTTTCGTGGAGAGTCGGTGGACTCTCCACACCTTACTGAACATGGCGCCGAACGCCAGAGTGAAGCCGGTCGACATCGTCCACGCTCTCGCCTGGCAGATTATAAGAAACTGCCAGGGCGTGACGAACCTACCGTCAATCCCAATGAACAGCACCGCCAAGAAACAGCCTATTATGCCCAACAACATTATCGTATTAGCGGTGGGATGAGACGAATATATGACTCTGCGAACAAATGGGCGATGCTTATCGATTGCACCACAGGAGGCGGAGCACGAATGAGTGTTGTGTATACCTCCGGTGCCTATTATAGACGTTAAATATGATCAATCCGACGGCTATCACGATACCAAGCGCTGACAAGGTCGCCATACTTATGAATAAGGGCAGTGACACCGTTCTCAAGACGGTTCTTATTATCGTTCTGTCCTGCGGCACCTTGCCGCCGATCCATCGCTCCACGTTCCGCCACGTCAGATTGTCGCTCTGCGTATCGTAGTAGCCCAGCTTCACGTACTTGCCGTCGATCACCTGCTCGATCTGCGTCAGAGCGATCCGGTCGCCTTGCGAGCTGAACGCCACGTGACCCTACGTGAGAAGAGAGACGCGTGACGAACAGTAATTTCGAGCAGTAGTTCCAAATCGACTAGCTACATACGGAAACCCCGAGGAATTGGGTCGAGTTTACCGCCGCGTATATCTCGTCGGCGATCTCTTTGTTGTCGTAAGTGAAGTTCTTCAAGTTCTTGCCCATCTTGCCCAGTCGCTCCATGGTCCTGTTGAACGCTGACAGCGAGAAACGAGAGAATGATTACCACGTCGAATCGATGGAAAAAGAAAATTGGAGGGAGACTCACCCAATGCGACGGACCAGACCGCGTCGTAGGCGAGAGGCGCCTCCTGGTACCCTTCCGGGTATCGATTGTTGTCGATGTCGTAACCGTCGTCCTTCAGCAACTTGTTCAGTCTTTTCCTGAAGTCCTCGGCGGTCATGCCACTGATTGTCGTGTCGTTGTTCTGATTCCACATGAGCGCCTCGGTGGTGAGATGGCCCTCCGCCGCCATGCGCATCTGCTCCTTTGTGCAGGTGATGCCCTCCCTCTCCAGATTGATCTCGAACCAGTCGTCCTCGTACCAACCTATGAAGAACCACACGTAGGTCTTGCCGTATAGCTTCTGGTGATAGAGCTCGCAGAGTACCCTCCTCGCGGCCACCACGTAGAACAGGCCGACGACTATCCGCGCGTCCTGACGACGTAGATTCTTCACCGCGTCCGTTGGGTCCGAGAGGAAGCTTTGCCGCGTTACTATCTCGATCCCGGCCTCTTTGCAACGCGCTTCCAGGTCTTCGACGGTCTACGACAGGTAGGAGAGTCAACATCTCGCAAGTAATCCCGAGAACTGATATATCGAGGTGTCCTACTGAAGACATTTCCTTAATATCTTAAGAAAGTTTCGATTTGAGACATAATTGTCTGGAATTCAAGGACTGCATTACCGTTGAAAGACCGTAACCAAAGTCAGATCGAGTACACATGAAGGTTTGAATTCTCACCGATATGAACACTTCTTCGGCTTGCTGCAATATCGCTACCCGAGACCAGCCAAATTTTTGCAACAATTTGATTCTCGTGGGATTGTGTACGGTGGCAGACGGATGTGTCCTGAAGAGAGTCGGGAATCGATTTCGATCGGACAACGCTGGCGACGACGCACCATAGCAAAGCTAAGGACGAATAATTTCGGGTGTTCTCATACTTCTGAATGAATACGTGATGAATAAATAATGAAGTGGCGCAAAGTCCGACATTTGGTCGGACCAAGTTTAAGCTACTTTTTCAAATTCTTCGAGTGAAATCGAAAATAACGATTGATTTTTCGCTCCTATATAAAATAAATTCTGAATCGTCGGGTGAATATTTTCACTCGGAGAATTGAAGAGTGTATCTGTAGTGAATATATATAATATATATATAGAGGACTCCATTAATGCATTTCCTAGGACATTTTCAATCATTATTTTTAAATATTTCTGCATCATGAAACTTTAGAGCATCGTTGCTAACTCCTAACCGAATAATCATGATGCACGAATATTCAGACATAATGATTGGAAATTTGCGATATCTAGGAAATGAGACTGTAACAAGACAATTGATCCATAAAAGATTGACCGAGATACTTATACTGATGATAGCACTACTTATACTGAAGTAATTGATAGTAAAATTAATGAAGCATAGGTATTAGGCGTTAATTTCATCTATTTGTCAAATTGCTTATTCAGATGAGGAATTAACAATTCTAATGAAAATTTCTATATTATACGTGTCATTCTGCACACAATTTTTTAATTTATAAACATTATTAAATATTTAGAATCAATATGTATTGAATCAAACACAAATTTACCTCTAAAAAATTACTAAACAAAAAGTTATCTCTCATCATAAGTTTTATTTGTTTGTTTTGGTCAAGGACAAACATTGGTGATAACGTAAACGTTTTCTCAAAATTGTCCGATTCGCTTGATTCATCTGTACTTTCTTAGCGTAGTTTAACGCATTAGATATTTCACTCGTTTCTTAAGAAATGTAAACAACGAAGCGTTCCGATTTATAAGCTGGCAACACCTCGACAGTTGTCAAAGTTAAAGTGGAACTGGCAATACACTTTCACAGTAAATAAAGGAACGCACCCATAGGAACGGAATTCACTCTAAGTAAAACATTGCAATTTCGGTATTATTGCTTCGAATGAAAATACTTGTTTCAAGTGAAATGAGAAAAATATAATACTTACCACCACTAGATTCCACATTTTCGCCGCCTCAGCGACTGTGGTGCAAACCGTACTGCAGCCAGCTAATAGCATTAGCTTATAGGGTGGAAAGTAGAGCAGGTTATACATGACGGACGCGCCGAGACCGGGCTCGCACTGCAAGTGAAAAAGATAAATTAAAGGGCTGGCAATTCTATCGACGAGGCGACGACGAACCCGCATAAAATTTTACCTCGCTGTCGTTGGAATGAAGGTGTAGTCTGTATCCTCGTAACAAGTTCTTCTCGCGATTAACGTCCTCTAGGGCCAAGTGTGCGGCTGGCATACAAGCCTGTTGAATAAACGACGAATGTAATCCCGGCTGATTGACTCTCGAATTTAACGGGGGCAAATTTGTAGGGGAGAAACGCGCGTTCGACAGGTTCGGCGTTACATCGTGATTGAGGAACGCGAATATTTGAAGAGTATCAAAATTCCACTCGACAGAAAAACATCCAAGAACCGGGAAAGTTACTGTAACTTCAGCCCGGCCTAACGAATCGTTACAATTTTCGTTGCTTTTTTTTTTTATCAAGCTTTGAAGATCTTCCTTTAGGATTCGCGTGCATTGTATATATGCAAAATGAGAAAAGTAACGATTATATTCACTGTCCAGATAATAATGTTTGAAATGAAATAACTTTGTCACTGAAAATGAGTAAATAACGGTAAAAGCCGTTATAAATGACGCGTTACTTTCCAACATCGAAAAGGCGTTTTCCCGGAGACGCATCACGTCGTTCGATTTATCAATGGAAAATTGCATTCGCGAACAGAAGAAGGACGAGAGAGAAATGAATTATTAAAAGTTTATCCCCGAATTTCTCCGCGGATTCCGAGTTGCACACTTGTCGTCGAGTCCACCGGGAATTTATCTCACGAAAGTTCGGAGAACATCTCGGTTGACTCCGGATGGAGAAAAACGTTCCGGTAAACTTGCTCTCGTCGTGAGAACTCGGAGAATCTGATATCTTCAAAGTTTTCATGGCTTCGAAAGTTCACCGGAAATATTACTTGTGCTATCGATGTCGTCCGCGTTGAAGAAAGTTACAATGATTACAAAATGTACATTCCACTTTGACCATTCCGAAAGGAAGAACTATGACCCTTCGCGATCCAATTTCGGTAAAATCACGTTGATATGAATGACCCAAAAAAAAAGAAAAAAATGAAATCTTTTGTTTCGACCCCATGATCATTTCTCGTCATTTCGACGTTATGATTCTCCACTGTAAATAAACCGCGTTTACAACAATGTTATCGCTCTGCTTCATAAAAAGAAACACGATTTGTGCAATCGGTTGCCGCGTCGACAAACGTCCATCGACGCGACGATGAATCGCGCGATTGTTTCTTCTCACCTGACCGCCTTGCCAGCCGCCTTCGCCAGCGATCGGAAAGATACCGCCGATATGCAGGATATTCTCCTCCTCGTCTTCGGGCGGTAGCGATGCCTCGGTCCAGGGCACTGCCATTAAAATCACAATTAAGCCCAACATCGTGCATTGCCATAAGCCGCTCGCCATTCCGCAGCGTCTTGCTCTCTCGCGTGCGCTACAATGTTCCTCCCCTACGACATACCAGGTGTGGTGCACGTAAGATCGGTGGTGTGCAAAGCTGTCGAGAAGGTGCTCACTGCCATCGTTGCCCGATCGACCTCGTCGCCCGACTGATCGAACACCTTCTCTTTTTCTTTTTTTCTCCTTTTCTGAGTCTCGCGATCGCTCGTGATCGACTCTCTTTAGTTGTTCTGTTCTCGAGACTTTGACACCTGGTCGACCGACCGAACCGATTGATAGTGCAACCGTTTCTTCCCGAAACTTTCCGTGGAATCGGTAACTGACAGTCTCTTCTGTTTCGGGCGGCTTTCCTTCGCGCGCTGGGGTGACGCGATAAGACCCCCGTTCGTTCCTGTTAGTATGCACGCGCTCGAGAGACGACGACGACTCACGACGTCACGCACAGCTCGCTCGCGGTTTTACTCGCGCGCACCGCCGTCTCGCGAGCCTCGGGAATTCGTGTGGAAGCGAAGTCAGCGCGCTTCGCGGGCGTATTCATATTGATTCTAAACCCTGGAGGAACCTCGGCGGAACGAGTAGTGGGGATGAGGGTGGCTCCGTGAAAGCGCGAGCGCAAAAATCAATATGGCAGCGCCAAACAATTATCTCTCGCGACTTCAATTTCTTCGCGATATCGATGGAGATTTGAGATGCGTCCTCTAACGATCGAGAGGGGGAGAGGGAAAACGAGACGGATAAATGAAACGGTTCTGTCGGTAAGAGCACGATATAAGGTTGACTTTCATCAACTTTGGCTAAATTAACCAGCGCTTTATGATGATTAACAAACGACCAATTAGCTAAATCGATCAATGCCCGCGATTGATCGTTTAAGATTAATCATTTCATTGATGATACTTTTTACTATCATGGTTTTATAATAATCGACCAATTGCGGAATTGACCAATCGCATTGATCAGCCAGTGCGGTTGGTCAATTCTTTTCGCCGATTAGATTTAATCCATTATATGCGGGAATAGAAAACAAACCCACGATGGTTTCTCTTTATATTGTAATAAGTGATCTTTCATCTCAACTGGTTGAAGAAATTTACGCACATTGAAGCGTGAGAATCTCGCGCATCAGTGTGAATTTCTCGTGCAGCCAATTAAAAAGAACAGACCATGCGTTCGGAGAATTCCATCCTTGTCGTATGAGGGACAATACGTACGCTCCCCGAACGCAGCTCAAAGAGCACATCAGCTGTTTTCATCAAAAATGGTTGTGCCGCTTGAATAACGTAAATAACGCTGTATTGGAAATATATATTCCGCGCGGAATGGCCGCGCAACGTGCGTTACCGCAAAACAAAGAGGCCCTATTGAAAACATACACGACACGACTGAAGGATGACGTCAAGTCGATGCTCGAAAATTTTGAAGGTAAATCCTAACCTCTTTCTCACGTCGCGTCTAGACGATACTAATCTCAATAATCGTTCTTTTCAGAGATAATTAAGCTCGCGAAGGGTGAGAATGACTCGCATCTATCACGAATGACTCAATGCGAGCAGGACACATACGAGATGCACGTCAGAGCGGCCAACATGGTGCGCGCTGGCGAATCGTTGATGAAACTAGTCTCCGATATCAAGCAGTATTTAATTCTGAATGACTTCCCGTCAGTGAACGACGCGATAGGGGCAAATAGCACATTATTTAGGAGTAAACAAGCCGAATGCGACTCAAAGTTGGCTTCTTTGAGGGACGATATGGCTGCAGATTTATACGACTTGGAAGAAGAATATTATACCTCGATATACAAATAACAGTATGTGCACAAACCGGAATTCCCCCATCTGTGCAAAACTGAACTGGACCACGATTCACCGAGATGTAATTTATCCACTCATCGGTCTGTACATTTGTTTAAATAAATAGAATTAATTTTGATAATACACCACTGTTTGATCTCATGGAGAATCATAGAGTCGTGCGTGAGAGTAAATTGTTTCTTTTTATTACTTCGATTATTACGTGACACACAAATTATACATCACACGATACTTCTACAACGGTAGGTAGGTATATTAAAGAAGGTAGTAATATAAATCCAAGCTTCACAGTTATTAATAGTCATCTCACGATCGCTTCCACTTATTATTTGTTTACTTCATGATACTGATCACTGTACAACGGTAATTTACACAACTGTCGCGGAACTCCACTGTATCGGAGATTACGTTATTGCCATAATCGTGCGAATTGTCTGGTGAATTAAAAGGTGGAAAAAATACGTACACTTTTCCCGATGCAATTGGAGGTGACTCGTTTTTGATTAATTTCCAAAAGTTCTCTGCATCGAGAAAAGGCGTTGTTGTTTGGAAACTCGGTGTACATTTTTTTCCAATTTGGAGACACCGCGCACGAGTGTAATCTCACATCGCGTAATTGTAACGAGATACAAACAGTGGTATCGATAACCACTCGCATACTGCCGCGGGAAATCGGTGATTATGTTGTATACTAGCAGAAAAGAGATTAACTCAAAAATATCACAGTGTAAGACACAACGCTGTGACACACGAACGAGTCTTTTAATCGATGTGGTACACCACAAAATACTCAGTGAACTAGTACAGCATCTCTCTCTCTCTCTCTCTCTCTCTCTCTCTAGACAATATTGAAAATCTAACAAGAAAAAAGGAAACAATAATACGCGCGACAGGAGCAGTTTGCATTAAATGCGCTCTTACAATAAATTATCCTTTCATCACACTTTCTTTTCTCTCGAATCAGTTCACTGTCAAAGTGATAAAATTGTAATGATATTAATAACTACATATTGCTGCAATCGCACATTATTAAATACGTACACGAAACAATAATTTTTCCCTTCTCGTATATCCGTGGTGACGTAACCGTTTGAAATACTACGTAGATGAAAGAAATTGAAAAAAATCGAAGGAAACAAAAGAAAGGAACGTAAATACGAGAAAAACCGATTTCTTAAAGCAACATAATTTCTTTTCTTTCTGGAGAAGTCTCCATTGATCTATCATCTTGAAACAACAACGCGCTTTAAGATCCACAATAATAATTTAGTATTTACAAAATTCGCTTAAAATTAACGATGATAATATTAAACCGACGCGTTTTCAACGTGCCTCCCCTACGCACCGGAAAGCCATTGATTTTACGTACGCATGAACCTTGAAAACTAAACGCTAACTCGACACGCATCGTGCGTGCGCGTGATACGCGCTGTAATAATGGTTCGATCGTCGCAAGGCATACTCTCGTGGTACGACACACACACACACACACATCCACTCTCTCACACACGCACACACACACACACACGGTACAAATGTGATGAAGTTCTGAAATTTACAATTCTTACACAGTTTTGCCGAACCGGAGAGAACCGCTTATTATACATATACATTAAATATTACTAAGTAGACTTATGTTCTACTTTGGCAAAAACGTTTACAAATCTAAACTCGAATGCATTTCCTGAACCTTTTTCTCTCTTCTTTTTCTCGCCACCGATTGAATCTCCACGACATTCAATCGCATTCTCGCGATTCCTCCTCCACAAAACTCACGCAAAATTCTGGCCTTTTACTGGCAGCTTGAATCATTCACAGCTTAGCATTAAAGTAATCTCAAAAAAGTTACAAAACTTGTAATCCTCTCACTAACTTTTCTATCCTATAAAGTATGCCAGAAAAATGTGATATGCTCCTTTACTTTTTAATCCTCCGCATAACAGAGTATCAGTGCTGGAGTCTCTCTCTCTCTCTCTCTCTCTCTCTCTCTCTCTCTCTCTTTCTCTCTCTCTCTCTCTCTCTCTCTCCCCCCCGTGCTATTACAAAAGCAAGAAGAAAAGGATGAAGCACTAAAGTGTCTTGGCAGTTTCGACGATTCGTTATCTAGGAAAGTCCGTTCGTTCAATCTATCATAATGACAAAGTAAATGCATATAGTTGGAATGATACTGTTAGTTCTTACTTAGTAATTATCTAAATAAACGCCTCGTTTTCGGAAACGACGCACTCGTAAACGGTGATCGCGCCTTTTAATCTTTCTTTTTCCGATTAAAGAAAACAGGATCGCTTCGTTTAAATGCATCAAGTTGGCGATAAGTGAAATGTTTGTGGTCCACCGGTGTCCGATTACGAGCGCGATACTTGACTCGCTTACTGTATAAAAAAAAAAAAACTTGCTTTATGCGGTTGTGAGCATTCGTCATGTGTTTTCTTTTATTATTAAACTTCGGTATATAATATTAGTGTCTCGCATTTGTAATTCTTTTTTTCTCGAGTTTCTATCGCTGCTAGAAAAAATACTCCTCAATTATATGGATTTCTTCTAGATCTTTTCGTTCTATTGCCGCGGTAGGACGTTGTTGAGCCGTTGTTAGCGAGGACGCTTCTTTTCAGTAAAGAAGATCCCCGGTCGTCTCAGAGCCCCACGCGCCCGCATCTTGAGCAGGCCTCAGATAGTCCACTTCGTTTTCAGTAGTTTGCCCCGTGGGCGCCGACGCGGGAACCACTATCGGCACGGCCCTGGTAACGCCTAACTCGAAACCTTCCGACGTCAGGTCCACTTTACTAGGTGTGTAACTGGCTAGTCCGCTTCCACCTGCGGATATAACGGGTGCTTAAGTAACGACGTATCTAAACAAAGCTTATGAAGATATTCCGCTAATTTACCGACAACTGTCGGTACGTGTGAAAAACTTCCGTTACGGAATAGCACCCATGCAGCCCGATTCTGTGATTTCTAACGACGGCTAGCGACGTTACAAAATCGGGCTACTGAACTTTTAACGACGTTATTCCAGTGTTGTTGCTTTCTGTTATATTTACGCAACGACGACACTCGTTGACAGCGGTCTGTTTACACACTGTTTACCGTCGGTTGACAGAATAGCATCCCATGTTAACAAAATTATTTGTCACGTTAAGGATTGGAAAGTGCGGCCTTACCAAGAAGAGATGGTATGCTCGTCGAACCGGCCGTCGAGGAAGTTTTATTGTTGCTGGCGGTGGATTGCTGCTCGACGGAGGTTTCCGCACCGCTGCTTTCGCCTTCGAGGATCGACGCTTCGCTGGGGTATTCGAAGGTGCGGGTCGCCGTGTCGTCGAACTGTATCCGGTGCTGAAAGCACAAATAAAGCGGTCAGTCGATCGAATTAATAGTTCACGCGGCGACAAACAAACGCTCGCAAGAGTGAATTGATTTATGATGCACGCGGAAGGGATTACTCGAAAAATCTATCATTCCTGTCCGCTGCTACATAACGTCCGTCCTTCCCTAGTGCCTGAAGCTCAGTGATGAAGGGTTGTGCGCATCGACGTCATAAGAACACGGTGTTTTCTTACTTGTTGTTATCTTATTATCGAGGGATGGGGACAATCATAACAAATTTACTTAATTTTTCTACTTAATTATAGTGTTGTCAAAGATTTTATCCATTCCTTAATGTAATCGACGAATGTGTTTACCTTACGAAAGGAAAAAGGTTAATATGGAAAATATCGACTCTAATAATGTTACTTTTATCTCCAGTTTCCCCTATACGTACCGGTAATCGCCGGCTCACAAATGCGCCGAAAGTACATTCGCATAAGTAAACACGTATTACGGAGAGCCCCGCGGCTAATTTACGTTCGCCTTTGCGCATTTGGCGGAACGCGGTTAGTCGTGGAAAAATTTAGCAAGGCGAGCTGCGTTGCAAACGCGCTCGGCACAAACGAGATATATACGCGGGAGAACAAACAACGGCACACAACAGCCGTGTAATGTAGCCTCGAATAACAGTAACCGGTCACACTCGCTGCTTTTTCGACTGCGTGAACAAGAGGGAAACGTCTTCGCTCGTCGTGCGAATTGTCAAGAGAGAAAGCGCTTATATCTAATGTAACTGATTAAATGCCTCATTCGTCGCGGAACGCATCGAGAGCCGCAGAAAACGGCACCTCAAGCGATCCTCTTTCTTTCGAATAACGAAATTTTGATGTTGCTTCGCTTTAGATAACATTTGCGCCTACTTGGATGGCCTATGGATGAATAAAAACCAACTTTGCAAACGATATTGCATAGAAAATAGCAACTTGATAGGAACCGGATAAAGATTCGGTAATAAGAAATGATGTTCCCTCGCGACAAACAGCATTCGTGTGAACGAACATTCAGCTACATTGAAACTCAGTTGAAACATATGAGAGCAATCGAATAGAAAGTTCCTTTTGTAGGAATCTGTTTCTAAAAAAACCGAGTTTTTGTCTGGTCCCTAGACAACGAAAAATTTCATTACATTAACAGAGTTGTATTTCCCGTGTGTTACCCTCCCCCCCATCTCTCTTTAAATTCTACAGATATAATTTTAACGATACCTCGAAAAGCTAAATAAATGGTCTCGGTATTTCGATAATTAAATATCATATAAAAGTATTCGAATAATCTCTTTTGATGCTAAAAATAGCAAAAACGGAAACTTAAGACGCATCATCAAAGTAGGATTAAATTTTATTCATTAGAATTCAACGTATCTCTTGCCATCCGCTACTATACTGTAGAATTAAAGATTTGACAAAGGGTTTAAACAACATTTCAACTTCGGATTGTTTTCCGGTCCGGTAGAAATAAATTACACCGGATATCGTCTCGGCATGCGTTGTGTGAAAGACGTTTCGGAATCGATGTTAAGCGAAGACGTGCCGCCGCGATCTGCGCGGCGTTCACGACCGGCTTATGTCAGAGCGGCGGTAACAGTACCGGCGATTATTTCGACTAGGGGTTGACTGCTCGCTCGCTCGGTATAATTATATGTATGCACCGTTCTTTCCTACCGAGGCGTCTCTCGGACGAGAGACCGGACAAAAAAAGACGAATCGATTGATTCGGTAGTTCTTCCTCGGAGGAATTCCCGTATTCGAGACGGACGAATGATAATCGCCGTCGTTCCTTCCTCGCGAGACGAAAGACTTTCGAAATGAATGAATGTGCACCCAAGAGACGCGAAAAATTCCTTTGAAGCGGCGTAATACTTTCTCTAAAACGGCGGCCCACTTTTTTGGACGCCTCGCAAATTAGCATTTTTTCACAGAGAAGAGGCGTTTTCTCTCCTCTAATTCGCGATCGAAGAAGCAAGAAAAATGGGAGGTTTTCCTCAACACACTCTGTGCGAAGTGGCGATAAACGCGACATTGTCGATTGGCTGCATGCACATTCAAGATGGAAAGTCCTGTTCGAACGTGCGATAAGACCGGGGACGGCGAACCGCTCTAGGCGAAGCCGCTGACAAGAGACGCACGTCCATTGGCCGCACTGCTATTGATCTTTTACGAGAAGAATACAGCGGACTGTGTTGGCAATCGATACAACTTTCGTTTCGCTGTCGGCCCTACTTCAACCCTTTCGACGACGCACCCCTCTTCCGAGAGTAATTCGAAAGTATCGGTCTATACGCGTTCGCGATATTGAAAAAAAAAAAAACCATTAAATGTGAAAATATTTAGAATCAGAAATTATTTTGTCAACATATTCGCACAACTTATTGCAACAGTTCAGCTAAAAAGAACAGACAAAATTGCTCTTAGACATCTCAACCGGATTTTTAACGCGACTGAATTCGTTTACACGAATGTTCACGGTAACACAGAAATATGATTTCTTCTCATCGAGTTTCCATCTGGTCAGGAACTGATATTATTTTCCCGTGCAAGTGAAAATTTCGGAAATCCCGACGTTGTGTGTCTGGACGAATGAGCACGTAGAATCCCAGCGTGAATTCCACGCGGCGAAATATCAGCGTGACCTTTTGCATTAGAAGGATATAATAGCAACGGCCGCGAAGATATCGTGCTTCCTGATACACCGAAGGCCGTGGATAGGCAAGCAGGAAATTTACGGTCTCGCCGCGTATCCCGTCAGGCCGGCGTGTATCTCGGTTTTCCGCGACAATGCTAAACGGTAGACCAAAGGTCGCGGCAAAAACTGGACGCATCCGTTATGTCCCAATGAAACGGGCGACGTGAGATTGAGCTCTAACGAGCCGAGGGCAATTTTCAGAAACGTACCATCTGCCGGGATAATTTGCCTGCTCTTCCGCGCGGTACTTTGCTTTTTGAGCGCCGCAGTGGCGGAATCGCTATGCAAAATCTCCTCCTTCTTTAGCTTCAACTGTCCTCAGTGGCATTTTACGATTGATAGATGATTGAATTCGGTTTAGTGCAACAAACTCATTCAAGGGGACGCCCTCGACCGCCGAACAGCTATGCATCGCCACCACCAACGATTAGATCGTTGACAAGGTGAATTACTAGAGATCCCGTTATCGTCTGGCGCATCCTACGCGTTTAATTTACACTCGTGCGAAACGACCTAGCCGATGGCGACGCTCGCCTCAAAGACTCCCGTTACATTGCATCGCGCGAATTCTACGTCACGGATGTAGACGTCAATCAATGCGTCTCAACGAACGACGAAAGTAAATTTCGCGAAATTCGATTCAGCGAAGGAAGCGTTATTCTCGTGCGATAATAGTCGCGCGCGCTCGAGTCGTAAACACTTTGACACGGCGTGCCGATAAAAATTGTTTAAAACACACAATGTTGATTTGCACGACCGATTACGGCCGATTTGTAAATACACACGTTCGCTTCGAATTTCGATGACTCGGTGGGAAATCGCGCGGAATCGCAATCGCGTGACTGATTACCAAAGCCGAAAGGTGGTCAGAGAATTTACGCAAGGTAGTCTACGAGATGATTGTGCAATGTTTGTTGTTGCCACGAACACGCCGGATTCTCGCGATACAATGTATTTTCCTTTCTTTCGTACACTTCCATTGATTGGCAAACGAGAGATTCAAATTGTTCCTGCTGGAATTCTGTTCGCGTTCTCTATTTTGAAAACATATTATAATAAGATGCAAATCGCATACAAACCCCCGTTATACAGGCAAGACAAATATTATCACTTAACAAACTCAAGTTGAAAGATTGTGGACATTTGTCGAGGGGAGTTATTAGGTACTACGCGGACTTTGCGTGCATCGCGAGCTAGAAGATGCAAAGTAATCTCCCAGTCATAGACGTTAGATCGTATCGCGACTACGGTATAATACAATAAAATGAAGACGACGCAGAAACGAGAAGAACGAGTTTCCCACTGCGAGACCGAAAGGTATGCGATAGCATGCGCGAGGAATTCCTCAGTTATGCCCTTAAGAGACACGCGTTAAATACGTGTCTTTGTACCTGGCAGTACCTGGTGTATCTCGAAATTTATACATTATTTCGCAGATCTTTGGTGTAACGCTATATTTTTTATTATCTCCCTTTACGCTTCCCATATCTGTTACTTTCTTAGGTTCGCGTAAGTATCAACGAGACGGTGTTTATATCGTAAAATTCGAGAGAAAGAGAGAGAGAGAGAGAGAGATATTAAATATGCAAACTGCAATTAACAGTCCACCTTTTTTTCCCGCTCTTCTCACAATTTTCTCCATCTTCAAGTCAGAAGCGACATCCGACGATAGGTGAGGTAAGTAAAACCTTGGATTCATGGATCGTTGATCCAAGAGGCAATGGCCGCGTTTTTCAGCCGAATACCATTCCGCGATAACTCACGGGAAAGAAGAATTCCACGTCGTAATGTAATGCGCGATCGGCGTTATTCCGGCGTTTCCATCAATCCGACACGGTGCGCAAACACTGAAATAAATTCCGAGGAAACACGATGCAAAATAAAACAGGGATGGCGATCTTTGGACAGTCTTTGGAGACACAATTAATTAAGGGGACAGCACTCTTGAAAACCGAAGAATAAGTCTAATTTTCAAACACTGATAACCAAAAGCTAAGTAAAACGTTAGCAATTTTGAGAGCTGATTTCTTCACTGCTGATTGTTTCACGATAAAAATTTATTGGTTAAGTGCCCAAATGAATTCGTTGAAGAAATCGAGCTTTTCTTTACAAAAAAAAAAAAAAAATCATAAGCATGCCAATCTTCGAAATATTCGCTATTATTTATATACTTTTCTCCATCTATCAAGTAGCTGACGAATCCCCTCTCGAGAAAAGCCAATGAAATTGTCAATGCGGACCTCTTCCACACTTTTAAAGCGTATATCAGCCAGGTGGTGCGCGATCGAAACAGATGATAATCCGAAGGTGAATAAGCCACACATGAACTTACCATCTTCAGAAATAAATAGTCTTAAACCCACTTTTCGTCGCCAGTAATGATTTTGTACAAAAATTATCCTTCCTCCTGTTAACATCGCCGGATCATCTTTGCTTGCTGTGCGGAATCCGTCGGCCTAATTTTTTAAATAGCTTATGTAAGCGAACGGAAGTCGATTGGTTGTAACGCAAGCTCATTTTGATTTTCACTCAACAATTGCTCAAGTTTCTCAAATTTTTTACCTCCTCCTTAAAAAGGGAGATCGACAAGTCTCTCGTGGCCGATAGTGTATCGCGGAATCATCCGTCGACGTTTATTCCCATAGTGCACGGTAGATTAACTCGATCGACGAGGCGCTCGAAAATCACCGCGATACTTTTACTTACAAATTGCTGTTTTATCGGTGTCGGTAATAAGCTGCGTCGCGGAACGTCGCGTCGCGTGAGAAAGTCGCGGAATCCAGGGAAATGCTCGATCGAAACGATTGCAAATTCCGCGACAATTGCATCGAGTGGACTGTCGTCTCGAAGACTGTGAGAAATATTTCAACTTGCCCGCAATTCAAGTCAAATCCGAGGTTTAATGATCGCAAAATAAGTAGAATGTTAGAGAGCCCGGATTGAAGAATAAGCGTACAATCGCCGCGCACCTCAATGCGTTGCGATAAATGTTATCGTAAAAATTAACGAAATGCTTAAACGCGATATTAATTATTCAGCACATTTCATTAAGACGCACGTCTTACCCCACTTTCCACGTATCGAGAAAACATTTTGGCCGACCGGTCTGCATATTAACATTTAGAACGGCTTCGTTCGCAAAACTCCGTGTTTCGCACACATTTCATCGCGCTGCTATCATGCCGGAATTTTGGAAAAGTCATTTTCCGAGCGTATAACACGTTCAGTAGCCGAGCGAAATATCGCGGATATTAATATCAATATTTATACAATTGCGTTCTCCGTGCCGAGTCCTCTGATAAGTTATCAGCGTCGCGAGTACATATATCGCGACGTAACGCGCGCAGTCAGCGCGCGTTATTATGGGCTCGCAACCGCCGTAGCAGCACGCATCTTTTATAAACGACGTTTGTTTCGCTTATCCATCGCTTACCATCTATCATCGGCGATAGACCTTATCGATATTATAACGCCGTACGAAAAGATAATCATAATTTCGGCGCGCAAAATTCCGAGAACGATAAGGCGAAATTTCAGCCCGAAGTTAAACTTTTAATTCTACAATACAGTAGGAGCTACGATAATAATATACACATTTTTAATGTTACGACGTTTAGTAGCGCACGTGTAAATATTTAAAGTGTTTTACGTGAAAAATATCTTCCTCTCGGAATGTTGCGTTCAATCAAGGCGTGAAACCGACGTTTGTGAAAAAAAGATCTCCAAGAAGCAGCAGTTGCGCTGACATATTGCGCGTCTGATCTCACACATGGTTAGAACAGGGCGGCTCTTGTTTTCTCACGCCGCAACGGCGATCTTAAAAATAACACGAATCTAGCCGAATCTAGCTAATCATACGGTCGATTAGATTAGATAGTCGCGAAACTTGCGCCTCATTGATATACCGAGTATTTAACACGAGCGAAAGATCCGCAATATGAACGACGCAACAATTTAATGTCGCACTATGAATTATGGATGCTCACTCTATATAAGAATATATTGTGTGTATCGGGCAAATATATCGTACTAAATCCGCTTATAAACTCGGCCGAATGCAATCTTGCTGTGAGCGCCATTTCAGAAATTAACTATACGGTTTTTATGCGGAAACTTTCGGAGTGATCCTCGTATTACAATTCTTACCACGACGTTCTTGAGACGATCGACCTTGGACGAAAGATTCGATCGCTCACTCACCTTGTGATTTCGTGGCGTTCGCGAGAGGTTGCTGCGTCCGTTGATAAGAACGTTGTCGTTGAGAAACGACACGTCGCAGGGTGACGGCGGACCTCCGGAGATCTCCCACTCGGCCTCGTCGGTCGTCGACGCGTCCAAAGTCGCGTCCAGCACTATGATACCGCCGTCGCCGACCTGGTGGACAAATTATGAAAAATAACATTATAGCTGACGATAAGCTTGCCACACAAATTTCTACGTGAGAACATGTCCTTCGTTCATATAGCCGATAGGATCGCGAGATCTCACTTTTCCGCTTTATTTTCCGAAAAGAGGCGCCATCACGATCCGAAAGAAAATTCACCGGGAAAGTATTTTCGTTGCGTGCATTATCGTACCAAATTATAGACTGCGCTTCCTTTTCCCACCTCTTTACAATCGCAAATTATCCCGAAACGATCTTCGGCGGGGTTACATCCATTCCGGCGTTATTTATCCTCCCTTTGTTAACAATGATTCGCGGGCGGTGTGTGCGTATTCGACGTTCATGTCAGTCGGTTATTACCGCCTTTCAAGACTCCCGTGAATGGAACATCCTGTCGGGCCGGAGAAAGAGGGAGAGACGAAAAACGTGAGTGGGCGACGCGGGATAAACACTCGCAGGGAACGTGTCCCCAAGCGGGCCTCTTCCTCGCGAAACTTTGTGAATTTCACATCTGTCGAGCTCGCGTGTTCTCTCCATATCGTGTTTACTTCAATTTCGTGAGAGAAGTATCACTTGCGAAAGACGTGTTTTCTGCAGGAAATATGACATCATCGCGGATATTTAAATTGGGGATTGTTCGTGAATCATCACTGAGATCTTTGTCCGAGAGAGACTTTTGGTAAATTCCATGTTGAGTGGTCTTACCAACGACGATTTCCGGTGCGATCGATTTTTAAAAGTGATTCTATTTTTTGGAGCTAATCTTTCCGGAGGCCGCCTACCCGCCGTCGTGAACGTTCGTTGATCCGAGGAAAAATGCGGTCGGAGATCATAAGACGCAGCCGCATTACGGACGAGCAGCGGTCGAGGTCGAGCGACAATATAATATCTGTAATATTTGAATATAAAGCGAATGCGATGAAACGCAGGAGAATCGATCTACGATCAAACGAACGAATGATCCCGTACTATCATTTCTCCCGTCGGATCGCAATTGAGGAAAGAACGCGAGGAGAAGAAGGGGGGGGGGG